CTGTTTTGGAAATCTCAACCCAAAATCTCATGGCTATCACACATTCCGCTCCTAGGCTATGTCTAGACTGCCCCTCTTGCGCAAGAGAATACGCAAATGAGGCAAAGCGGTGAATATTGCCATGCCTCATTTGCATACTTAATGAGCCACCATTTTATGCAAGTTTCTTTTGCAAAAAAAATGGCATCTTATTAAGTATGCAAATGAGGCATGGCAATATTCACCGCTTTGCCTCATTTGCGTATTCTCTTGCGCAAGAGGGGCAGTCTAGACATAGCCTAGGAGCGGAATGTGTGATAGCCATGAGATTTTGGGTTGAGATTTCCAAAACAGCCTAAGGGAGTTAGGACCCCAACTCTTTTGAATTTCAATGAGATTTGTGCAGCTAACTCGCTTACGTTCCTTTGGAAATCTTGGCCTAGATTGATTTCAATCAGAATCATCTTGCTAAACCTCCACCCTGTTTGGCTGAAGAATCAGCTAATCTTCACCTATCCTATTCCTTTCTCACCTCCCTCCCTCTGCTCTACTTCTCTCTGCTCTTCCCCCCTCTCTTGTGCCTAATAAGATTGAGAGGAACTAGAGAGGTCAGCCTTTCTCTTCCTCCCCTTTAATGTAATCTACTACAATCCATTTTGACTGAACTATTGCAAAGTATTTACTTTAAAAATATTATTAAACCATGGATTGTAATAATAAATATTTTCATTTTTGTTGTCATACACATCTATGGGTACATCTAAACTACATGGCTCCGTCGACGGAGCCATGTAGTTTAGATGTACCCATAGATGTGTATGACAACAAAAATGAAAATATTTATTATTACAATCCATGGTTTAATAATATTTTTAAAGTAAATACTTTGCAATAGTTCAGTCAAAATGGATTGTAGTAGATTACATTAAAGGGGAGGAAGAGAAAGGCTGACCTCTCTAGTTCCTCTCAATCTTATTAGGCACAAGAGAGGGGGGAAGAGCAGAGAGAAGTAGAGCAGAGGGAGGGAGGTGAGAAAGGAATAGGATAGGTGAAGATTAGCTGATTCTTCAGCCAAACAGGGTGGAGGTTTAGCAAGATGATTCTGATTGAAATCAATCTAGGCCAAGATTTCCAAAGGAACGTAAGCGAGTTAGCTGCACAAATCTCATTGAAATTCAAAAGAGTTGGGGTCCTAACTCCCTTAGGCTGTTTTGGAAATCTCAACCCAAAATCTCATGGCTATCACACATTCCGCTCCTAGGCTATGTCTAGACTGCCCCTCTTGCGCAAGAGAATACGCAAATGAGGCAAAGCGGTGAATATTGCCATGCCTCATTTGCATACTTAATGAGCCACCATTTTATGCAAGTTTCTTTTGCAAAAAAAATGGCATCTTATTAAGTATGCAAATGAGGCATGGCAATATTCACCGCTTTGCCTCATTTGCGTATTCTCTTGCGCAAGAGGGGCAGTCTAGACATAGCCTAGGAGCGGAATGTGTGATAGCCATGAGATTTTGGGTTGAGATTTCCAAAACAGCCTAAGGGAGTTAGGACCCCAACTCTTTTGAATTTCAATGAGATTTGTGCAGCTAACTCGCTTACGTTCCTTTGGAAATCTTGGCCTAGATTGATTTCAATCAGAATCATCTTGCTAAACCTCCACCCTGTTTGGCTGAAGAATCAGCTAATCTTCACCTATCCTATTCCTTTCTCACCTCCCTCCCTCTGCTCTACTTCTCTCTGCTCTTCCCCCCTCTCTTGTGCCTAATAAGATTGAGAGGAACTAGAGAGGTCAGCCTTTCTCTTCCTCCCCTTTAATGTAATCTACTACAATCCATTTTGACTGAACTATTGCAAAGTATTTACTTTAAAAATATTATTAAACCATGGATTGTAATAATAAATATTTTCATTTTTGTTGTCATACACATCTATGGGTACATCTAAACTACATGGCTCCGTCGACGGAGCCATGTAGTTTAGATGTACCCATAGATGTGTATGACAACAAAAATGAAAATATTTATTATTACAATCCATGGTTTAATAATATTTTTAAAGTAAATACTTTGCAATAGTTCAGTCAAAATGGATTGTAGTAGATTACATTAAAGGGGAGGAAGAGAAAGGCTGACCTCTCTAGTTCCTCTCAATCTTATTAGGCACAAGAGAGGGGGGAAGAGCAGAGAGAAGTAGAGCAGAGGGAGGGAGGTGAGAAAGGAATAGGATAGGTGAAGATTAGCTGATTCTTCAGCCAAACAGGGTGGAGGTTTAGCAAGATGATTCTGATTGAAATCAATCTAGGCCAAGATTTCCAAAGGAACGTAAGCGAGTTAGCTGCACAAATCTCATTGAAATTCAAAAGAGTTGGGGTCCTAACTCCCTTAGGCTGTTTTGGAAATCTCAACCCAAAATCTCATGGCTATCACACATTCCGCTCCTAGGCTATGTCTAGACTGCCCCTCTTGCGCAAGAGAATACGCAAATGAGGCAAAGCGGTGAATATTGCCATGCCTCATTTGCATACTTAATGAGCCACCATTTTATGCAAGTTTCTTTTGCAAAAAAAATGGCATCTTATTAAGTATGCAAATGAGGCATGGCAATATTCACCGCTTTGCCTCATTTGCGTATTCTCTTGCGCAAGAGGGGCAGTCTAGACATAGTGAACCCTTACGTTCGCTTGGCGGAACCCCAGGGTTCCGCGGAGCACCATTTGGGAAACACTGCCCTAGAGTATTAGCACCATTGCACACAATCTCCCATTAGAAATAAAATGATTCAAGGGTTGGGGAGACTTAAAAAGATCCATTTCTTTAATTAATCAGCAAAAAGGTTGAGAGGTGACCTAGATAGTAAAAGGCTTTTCAAAGTAGTAGTAACGTCTGCAAGCTGAATCCAGACACATTCAAAGTAGGAACTAGGGATACATTTTTAAGAGTGAGGTTGGTTAACCATAGGAGCAACGTATCAAGGGAAGTGGTGTATTCTCCATATCTTGGTACCTTCATGTAAAATGAGCTTTCATGGAAGATATGCTTTAGCCAAACACAAATTGTGCTTTAATCAAATAATAGGCAACAACTAAGTTAAAGTTAATGTGCTGTGATAAACAGGAAGTCAGACTAGATAGTCTCTTCTGGCCTTAAATTCTGTGAATCTATTTATTTAAATCCACAGACTGAAGTAATTTAAGATCAAATCTTGATTTCATTAAACACAATAGGAAATGTGTCATTAATAATGGATTCCATCTTTTGCCTTATTACTTAAGACAAAATACTAAATGACATTTTTCCTAATACCATTGCTTCTTTCAGTGTAAAGTGTAGTTTTAAAAAAGCACTGCATTATTTACTCTACTTTGCACTGAAAGAAGCAACTGTTCACTAAAATTTAAATTATTCACTGCATTTTAACTATAAATGTAAAACTAAAGATTTCAACCTCAAATGTAAAAGTAAAAGCAGATTTTATAATGAAAATGTCGACAGTCACTTGTCTGTGGTGGATTTGTCTGATGCAGTATGAGTTTTAGTAAAAAACCGTGTTGTATTTTTATATTAGATACACAACTTGCATTTGAGACTCTTTATGGTATATAAAAGTAACACAACAAATAAAAATTGCCCATCTATTACTGGCAAAAAATGTTCATGGCAGCCAATTTAAAACAAACAAAATACAAAGCTCTTAGCTCAGTATTTTGCTCTGAAGTCTCAGACCAAATTTAGGGGAAATGAGTGAATAATCAAAGATAGCTGGATCCAATTTATAAAGGAGCAAGGAGGAGCCAGTCATGAAGAGAGGAGATAATTGTTTCATCTGAAGATTATTTAAGATCAGTTGTGACAATCACAGAACTGCATTCCAAGGCTCTGGGGCACCAGGCCTTCCTCCTCATTAAAATACTCCAGATTTACTGCCTTTAATTACTCACTAAGACTCTTTGTAGTTCCAAAATATTATCTCTCCAAGAAGAGTGTGCAAATCTCCAGCTGTCTGTCACATTTAGGACTCTCCAGTTCTGTCAAAGTGGTGTCTCTATTCTTTAGAATATTTTCATCAGTTATCTTATTTACTAACTGTGCAATCCTGCCATCACTTCATATAGCAAGCTTTTAGTAAAGAAGTTATTTAAATATTATTTATATAAATATCAATGACAGGGTTCATAAGAACAGACTATCTAGGGTAAAATTTTCAAAAGGGAAGAAGTCCCATTTGAAAAATGTAATTCAGGGTACATCTACATTGCAGCTGAGAGTGAGCCTCACAGTTCAGGGAGACAGACTCACACCAGTGGAACTAGAACTAATGCACTAAAAATAGTAGTCTGGAGGTTGTAGCTTGTTCACTAGGTCAGGTTCTGAAGCCCCCTTACCTACCTGACTCTGAGCTCAGGGGCCTAGAGTTGCAGTGTTCACACTTCTACTTTAAATGCACTAGTTCAAGGCCTGCAAGTGCAAGCCTGTCTACCTGGAATGGGAGACTTGCTTGCAGCTTCAGTATTGACCTAGCCATAGGTATGTAGGCACTTAGCTCCCATTTAAATCAATGGGAATTAGGCACCTAAATACTTTTGAGGATCTGTACCTACGTCACTTCTGAAAAATGAGTGAGTCAGGCACATAGGTCAGTTGAGTACTGTTGAAAATGTTACCCCTCATCTGCATTTACAAGACTTTTAACTACTTTGGGGGGGACAAGTAGAAGTGGTTTTGCCTGAGTGTTAACACCACAGTTTACAACTTCTATTTCTGTCCAGTTTTCACAAACAACAGCTGTCAGAGATGTAATGTTTTACACTCAGAGACTTAAGGCCACAGGGGGAACCATCATGAACATTTAACCTGCCTTTCTACACTTTGAAGGCCACAGAACCTCACCCACCCCTGTAATAGACCTTTACCCTCTGGCTGAGTTACTGACAACCATTTTAAAATCATGGTTTTAAAAGACTTGAGTTAGGTTACAGTACTTTAAGGTTTAAATATTTATATAATTTTTTCTTTTTAGTTGTTCAGGTTGGATTTCCTTGCCTGGGAAAACAAGATGGAGTAGCGGCATTTGAAGTTACTGTCATCATAATGAATTCAGAAGGCAATATAATTCTCCAAACCCCCCAAAATGCCATCTTCTTTAAAACATGTCAGCAAGGTAAGCCATGGGAACCTGATATCATTAGCTTGTGTTGGTTAAATTGCTCAAGTTTCATTTCTAATAGAGACAAACAAAACAGCACTATTGGAATTATACAGATTGAAGTGAGAGTCACCCCATTCATAAGTTGTTGTTCTGGCTCTGCCACAGATTTGTTGGCAATTTAAGCTAAGAGTTCCTGAACTTTTTCCATAGTTTGAACTATATCTCACTAGAAAAATCGTCTTAATGACACATTTCATCCCGTTCATAATCACACAGCATCTCTGTGTGACTGCAGAAAAGGCTCCCATGGAAAACAAATATTAGCAGAGATTTAAGTTTCTCATTAACGTGATTAAGCAGGTGGAAACAAGGAGAATTAGCATCATGTGACCAGCCTGCTCTCCACAGATCACTGATACAAGCTAATGTTTTCAAAAGTGACTGCTAAGTTGGAGGTCCCCCAATTTTTGGCCGCCAACTTGAGGTTTGGCCTTATTTCCAGAAGTGCTGAGTACCTTCACCTCTGTTTGAAGTCAGAGAGAGCTACAGTTGATTAGAACCACTGGAAATCCCGAACTGGGCATCCAAAGACTGACATAACCAAAGTCAGTGACCACTTTCAAAAATGCTGTCTATCACCTCTCTGTTTCTCAATATAGCCTTTTATAAAATGGATATGACACAACTCACCTACATCACTGTGGTCATAAGACTTAATTAATATTATTAAATTACACAAAGTTATTTGAATGAACATCATTAAAGTTTAAATTCTCCCACCCTAACTCACATTGAGTAGTACCTTATTATGCGGGTCATTCATTTTATTTCAGTAGGGTCATTTGCATAGTAAAATACTATTTTGTGAGTAAGGATAGCAGAATTGAGCCATTTATGAATCCAAGGCTTATGCTTAACAGCCAGTATGTGCACAGTTAAGCTATACTGACAAAAATGTAATAAAACATGTTGCTGGTTGACAACAGTGTACCCAGGGGTGTGTTGTTATCCTTAGAAATGGTTATTTGGGGAAAAAGCAATTTAAATACACTTATAAAACATGAATTCAATGTTAATATTTTGAGAGTTTTTGACACAACTGTTGTAATTATAGTTGCAAATTTTGAGGCTACAGAAAGTGTTTAAAAATTGGCTTCCAAGATTATGCAATTATTACATATTGTTTGATGTTGTATCAAATTAACACACAACACAGTTTGTATACAGCATGTTATTAATTCCCTTAAGTCTTCTTTCCTTGTCTCCCATTTACTTCTCTTTTCTCCTAACTAATTGGTAGTGGCAGGGCTTCAGAGAACAAGCAGCAGGAGCAAAAGCTGTTTATTCTTTGAAACTCCATTATTGCTTAACAGCTTCTCTTTTGAAGTCTCACTTCTGCCAATTAGATGAGAGAAAGTGTGGGTGAGGACAGGCAAGAAATAGGCAGAGAGGAAGATGGGAAGCTTAATGGGATTTAAAAACGCAAATCTTATACACGTGGAGGTGTGTGTGTTTGAGGCAAATACAACAGTGTTTAATGCATTTTAGAACTTTTAATTTTTAATTCAGTTTAAAGCTGTTAAGTTTAATAGCTGTAAGTTTAATAAAGTTTGGATGAAGTGTAGTGGTGACTAGAGATGTTAGATATTGGGTAATTGAATAGTCATGTAACCACATGAAATCTTATAAGTTACCTGACTATTCGATAGTCCCAGGGGCAGGGCCGGCAGCCAGTGTGCTACATGCCCCACTCCCGGGAAGCCCCCTTCTACTCCACCCTGCTGCCTCTATTACAGAGGCAGCAGCCCGGGGAGCCAGTTTAAAACCAGCTCCCCACATAGACTAGCTGTCTGCTGCCCCGATACAGAGGCAGAAGCATGGGATGGCAGCAGCCCCTGTCCACAGAGGGTCCCAGCTTCCTGTGGACAGAGGCTGCTCAGCTTCCCTGGAGACAGCCTCTGTCTGCAAGAGGCCCAGGTTCCCAGAAGTAGCCCCCTCCCCCGGGAGGCAGAGCAGCCTCTGCCCACGGGAAGCTGGGACCTCCTGTGGACAGGGCCTGCTGCTGGGGACCAGCTTCTGTCTGCAACAGGCCCAGGCTCGCCGAGGACAATGGCTCTCCTGCCCCCCCAACCCCGCCTCTGGTAGAGACAGCAGCATGGGTGGGAACAGGCAGCACCACGGAGCTGGTGCGGGGGGAACTGACTTTTAAGCTAGCTCACCCTGGCACTGGCTCCTGCCCTGCCATGCTGCCTCTGATACAGAGGCAGCCGTGTGTGGGTGTGTGTGTAAATGCATGTACTGGATAAGATTAACCAATAAGTTCAGGCTTATTCGTTAATCGTATAGTTGACTACATGTTGACATCCCTAGTAGCGACCTGGTTTATGCAAACTTTAAGGCTCCAACCTAAATGGAAATACTTCTTTCTATGAGTTTGGAACCCTCTCTAGTCCATCCAGCTTTAATCCAAGCCATATTTTATGTGCTATCATTTACTATTATCATCATCAGTTTGCTGAGATGCAGTTTTAGCTTTAGGTTGGCCTAGTAGACTGAGGTTGAAAGGTCATTTTGGTCCTTAACTCACTGAGCCTATGAGACAAGGGCACATTACAGAGCCAAGTCTTCCAACACAAGGGGCATGCAAGAAGAGTTCTATCGTGCCAATATCTTTCAGCTCAGATTCAGTTATCTGAGGGTGAGCCTCTCTTTTTTGTGCTTAATGTAAGGACATAGACACAACAGCATTTTATGCTGGCTATAGGGAGAGATGGAGTGTTTCTCTGGTAGGTTGGTTGGTAGAACTTTTTGTTTTCATTTAAAAAAAAAAAGAGAGGAAACAAGGAAGCTTGTTATTCATACATTATTAGCCACCTTGGTTTCCAGCTATTATTGGCCAGCCAGGAAGGATCCCTGCTAGAGCAAGAATGGAAAGCCAGGGAGAAATTTTGTGGAAAAGGGAAGCTTTGTAGTGGCTAAGAGGTGGCCACACAAAAAATAATATTTCCCCATTTTTTCTCTTTGAAACGGCATTTATTTAAGCATGCGTTTTCTGTAATGAATAGCAGCTCTGCATTTGGGCACAAAAGGAAGAACATTTCCAGAAAGGATCCTAGAGTGCAGCACTGGAACAAAATAAAAGAAAATTCCTCTATACTTATTACTACCATATCAGATAGCTTTACTTTTAAAGTAATACATTTTGCTTCCTAGTTCTACACCTTATATGTAGTGACTCTCAATCTTCACCTTTTCTTGATCTCCAGTTCCAGTTCACTCACTTTTTTCTGGTAGTCTAGAGCTTCACTTCTGCACAACATGTAGAGCTTTTTAAAGCAGAATTTGTTCCATTATCTCTAGTCTCAGGTTCACCCATAGTACCCTATTGACTTCAAAGAGGTGTCGAGATGTAACCCAGGGCAACTTGCCATATTTGCCTGTAGTTCTGTTTACCCAATCTCTTATGATTTCCATAGGGAAATTTGTTTAAGGGATAATGTGTAGTTTCATTTGATTACACATACCAGCTGACTAAAATTGTTGGTGTTAGAATTACAGTAGTATGAATTTACCGTTCTTAGTATCTGTGGGCTGCAGAAGTGTCCCATGCAAGTCGGTGCATCTAAATTTACAAACATTCCACAGTTTGCAGCAAAAATAAAATATCTGCAAACTCTTAAAATGTTTAAACTTTGGACTCAATTTCCTTTAAAAAAATTGGATTGCATCAGTGGTTGTTGGTACCTCTTTTCAACATCAGTTTGATGGTAAAGACAGAAATAGAGAAGAATTGAGGCCATTGCTGATGACATTGTCAATTAAGGAAGCTGTTTTATGATCACGCGCAAACAATTCACTCAGTGCTAACAATCTAGCTAGTTACTGTCAAGCAGCTCAACTTCCAATTTTGATTCAAAGTATTGAGGAGGTTATAGGAAGGCAATTCTCAGATTATCTGTCTACTTCAGAGCTCTTTGAACTTTGTCATTTTGATTACAGAGCAAGGTTGGGTAAAGAGTTTGGGAGATAATTCCCTCTTAGTGATGGAGAAATATCAGATGACTATGCTGATACTGTTAGAGCTCTGTAACTCCTCTTGGTACCACTGATCATGAGGTGCTATTGGCTTGCTCCAATAGAAATAGACATGGCTGGCGGATATTTTAGACCAGTTGCATTTTACCCTGGGGGCTCATTTTGGGGAAGAGAGAGTGTTCCATAAAGTCCCTCCTCTTTTCAGTGTGGATATAGAGCAGTTAATAATCAACTAGTGTGGGTTATGGTGTTTTTAGAATGCTGATGATACCCAAACGTATTTGTCTTCCTCACATTATCCAGCCACTGCTGTCAAATGCTGTTGGATAGCGATTTGGGATATGACTAATGGCTGAATAATAATGTGGGATCATTGGGCAGGAAAACTTCTTCCCCTCCCCCACCCCCATCTTCACTCAGCATGGAGATTGAGTCTTTAATTTGGATACAGATCCAACCCTAGAGTAATGTAATGCACTGTACCTCAGGTCATGTCTTAAATCAAACCAAAAAATTGAAGTCGAGCCTGCTAAGTAAGCAGTATATCTAACCAGGAACATGGCACCAGTGCTTCAGGATAGGTATTGGCTACCTATTACAACTGTTCTCAAACTGTGGAATCATACTTAGGCTATCTGAGGCCCAGGGCTGAAGCCTTATTCCATCCACCCAGGGCAGAAGTAGAAGTCTGTGGGCTTCAGCCTTGGGGGATGGGTCTAAGGTTACATGCCACCTGCCTGAGGCTGCAGCCCTTGGGCTTTGGTCCTGTACCCTGGGCAGAGAGGCTTTGATGGGCTCATGATTCAGTCTGACTCAGAGGTGGGAGTGGGCTGGTACAGGGTACTGGTAAGAAGTGGCTGCTGGTATGCCTGTACACAGCTTTAATAGCACTGCCTCCTCCAGCACTGTGGGGGGACAAAAGAGGCAGCTGCCCTGGGGCCTGATAATTTAAAAGGGCCTGGCAAACTTCCAGCTGCCACCGTTGCTATGACCATAGCTGTGGCCAGAGCCATGGGCAGCAGGTGCCATGCAGCACTGAAGGGCTGGCTGGGGGAGGCCAGCCCACAGGCCCGCTCCTACCCAAGGCCCTGCCTCTACCCAAGGCCCCAGTACACAGAAGATGTTTAAATTACTTTCACCCCTGGTCCTCTCTCCTGGGGTTGTGTACGAATGATTTAATTAATTATTATTAATTATTATTGTTGGCAGAAGGGCATCGCAGTGCAATGAAATCTGAGAACTGCTGGCTAAATGACTAGCACAGATACTTTCAAGAGTGCAATTGATCATATGGTGAAACCTGTATTTGTAGATTAACGAAGAGATTGATTTTTAGCTGAGCTTCCGTCTCAGTCAGCAGTCATGGCACTGGTCAATAAATCTCGATATTCACTTCGACAAAGATTGAAATCCAGTTATATTTGCTCTTCTGGCATTAGACTGTATTGACGTTGTTGAAAATGGAGCGATAACTGAAGTACATTAATGTCTGATTAACAATGTTCTTATTTTCATGAAGCCGAATGCCCAGGAGGGTGCAGAAATGGAGGTTTCTGCAATGAAAGGCATGTCTGTGAATGTCTGGATGGATTTTATGGGCCTCATTGTGAGAAAGGTAACTTTAAAAATACCTTCAATTGTTTTTTGTTACTATCGTCTTACTGAAAAAGAGCTGTCAGTACACTGAAATACCTCTCTCTCAACAGCGCAAGTGGCCTTTCCTGGAGGCTCTCTCATGTCGCTAGATAGTTGTAAATATTAAATCTAAACATAGGAAAATTATTGTTATGACCCCAGAGCTAATGTAAACATCAATTGCTTAATGAAAATGCCATCTTGTAAAGAAAAATAACTGCTCTCTAAAGGATATATTAAACATGAAATTAATCAACAATTAAGAGATCCTTAATCACAAACAATCCATCTGGCAAGAGATTAAATGGAATTCTTCTGCTAATGAAGACTAGCTGGAAAATTCAGTATAGCGTTCTTGTTGTTTTGCATTGGTTATATGAAGATAAATATCTAATTTGGATGCCATAACTGTGTCTCAAGCAGAATGACAATGAAGATAAAATGTTTCGGGTCGATTCTCCCTTTTCTTTCCATAAGTGAAGGAGAGCTAATAACAACACATGGGGGCTGTGAGAGGGATGAGATTGTAGATTAGATGACGAGTACACTAGCTTTTGTACATGCTTCCTCCTTCTTCCCAACCCTGGGGAAGGTCCTTGCAAAGGGGCTCAGAAGCCAGTCACAAGACCTCTCTCACTCAGCCTGCTGGCATCCTTGGGTAAGTTAATACCGGCCAACCATGAAGTAAAATTCTGCTCCCTGCCGTTCCTCCTCAAGGGCTGGGTTGGGTAGCTACCATAGCTGGGGAGGCTGTAAGAGAAAACATCACCTGAAAAAGTCATGCTGCTGTGGGAACTTTGAGGCAATGCGAAGGGCCAGGAGTACTGCAGAGATGGCCCTGAGTCTGACAGATATTCCAAGATCCACAGGCGCAAAGGACTGAACCCTTGACCAGTTTCATGCCCACAGCATTGAAACATTTCAGCGAAATGCCAGGTTGGCTCTTTTCAGTTCTCCGATTGGGAGTAACCTGTGGAAAGGACAATGTTTGCCCTCAGTGCTGACTGATTAAGTAGGACTAGCACTGAAGCCAATCTTCAGTTTCTTACAGTGTTATTTCAATCACTATAATCAATAAGTAGAATTATGAAACATCCAGGCCCGCTGATGGGGAGGGCAAATGGGGTCAATGCCACAGGGCCCAGCAATTCAAAGGGGCCCAGAGCTCCCGGCCGCCATGGCTGCTACTACAGCAGCTGCCAGAGCCCCGGGCCCTTTAAATCACCTTCCGAGCACTGCTCAGTGCAGTTCTGTAGGCTGGGGGGCTGAGGGAGACAGCGCCACAGTCTGGGTGGTGCTGAGGGCTGGCTGCCCCAGCCCCACCCCTTCCACCTGAGGCCCTGCCCCTTTCAGGGGCACGGAGCCACCCCCCACATACACCTTGCCTAGGGACCTGTGGAAGCTGTTTGCTCCCCTGGAAACATCTTTCTGCATTAATCTATTTTATATTACACAGCTGACTTCTTATACTCAGCAGAGGAGAAAAGGTGTAATCTGAAAACGATTATTTGTTCTCGTTACTGATTTTTTTTAAAGTTTGAGATTTAAAATCCTGTTGCAAATTTTGGCATGTTCAACTCTCCCTCACACCAGCATTTTGTTCTCTTTCACTCTTGGCAAATTAGCTCTGTGTGCATCCCGCTGCATGAATGGTGGGCTCTGTGTCACACCTGGGCTGTGCATCTGCCCTCCTGGATTCTATGGCATCAACTGTGATAAAGGTAACTGTATAGAATAAAAAACATTCAAGTTGTAAACTTGTAATCCACCAGCTACAGCTATTTTTGTGTTCCTTGTCCTACCTTCTTGCATGCTGTTTTCCTCACAGTGGTGGTAATGGGTTATAATGTGTCCTTGACTGCATGGTACAGCGTTGCAGGGAGCCTGACAAGAGAACTATATCTGATAGTGTCCCTTCAGATATTGTTTCGTTGTTTAGCCTTATATGTACACCTATGATACTTTCTGTGTCTATGCACACCAGGAGTGGGCAATAATTTTTGATGGGGAGGCCACTCCAAGATATTGGAAAGTGGTCAAGGGCCACACTCTTCCATATTAATGGAGGAGGTGTGGGGTCCAGGATGGGGGTTGGGTGCAGAAGGGAGCTTTCAGTAAGGGACGGGGGTGCAAGAGAGGGTGTGGAGTGTGGGAGGGAGCATGGTTGAAGGAGGCAGTTGTGACCTGGGTTAGGGTTCTAGTGTGCAGGGATTTGGGTTGTGAACTTGGGCAAGAGGGGGTTGTGACCTGGAAAAGGGGACTAGGGTGCAGGAGGGGGTGGAGGGGTTTGGGCTGTGACCTAGAGTAGTAGGGGGTTGTGAGTTGGTGCAAGAGACTGGGGTGCAAGGGTTTGGGTTGTGATCTGGGGCAAGAGACTGGGGTGCAAGGGTTTGGGTTGTGATCTGGGGCAAGAGACTGGGGTGCAAGGGTTTGGGTTGTGATCTGGGGCAAGAGACTGGGGTGCAAGGGTTTGGGTTGTGATCTGGGGCAAGAGACTGGGGTGCAAGGGTTTGGGTTGTGATCTGGGGCAAGAGGCTGGGGTGCAGGAGGGAGTGCAGGGATTTGGACTATGACCTGGGGTAAGGGCTTAGGGTGCAGGATCTGGGAGTGAATATGGGTGCAAGGGGGGCAGAGGGTTTGGGGTATGTGGGGTAGGGGGGCAAAGGGTTGGGGTGCCAGAGGCAGGCTCTGGCTGAGACTTACCTGCTTGACTCCCAGCCAGCAGCCTTCTCAAGCAGACTCCCTGCCAGCCCCAGCTCTGCACTGGCTGCGGGAGGGAGGGAGGGGGGAAAGGGCATGTGGTTTTTGAACATCTAGGAGCGTGAAGGGAGGGTTAGGGTGCTTTGAAAGTTGTCTGTTGACAACAGGCACCCCAGTGGCTGGAAATCAGCCAATGGGATTGTTCTGGGGGCGGGAGCAGCACATGAAGCCTTTCTCCCTCTCCCAGGCTCACAGCTGGTGAAACAGAGGCCCAAAAGGCCACAAATGGCCACTTTTCTCAGCAGCAGGCAGGGAGCAAGCAGGGAGTATGCCTGAGGCTCTCTGCTACAGCCGCAGGCCGGATCTGGTGGCTTCATGAGCCACAGCCAGCCCACAGAGGATATTTTGCCCGAGCCTGATCTACACGCTCCATATCACAACATTAACAGAATGTTATGACCATGTCACTTTATCTCTGCTACTCCATTCCTGGGCCTTTTCAAAGGCTCATGCATATGTTAAGATGTGAATAAACATGGCCAAAACTCAGCGGTGACTTTCATTGTAGTGTAAATTACATGTGTATAAGACAGCAGAAGGTAGGTGCAACTTACACTCACTTTTGAACACTAATGTACACCAATTTAATAATATATAATGTACACAACCATTATTTTCTTCCTTGGCTTGCTAAAGGACTATGGGACTGGCTAGAAAATTCATTTCCATTTGTGGCTAATTGGAAGAATAAGGATTTGGATCTTGAATTCCTTACATGAAAGGCTGGTGCACTAACTTGCTGCATCTGGACAGATTAAAAAACACGTAACTTATTCCATTTAATATTTTCGTTATAATTACCTTACACAGTGTATCAATAAAAAGGGTAACATCATCTGCCTGATAAGGGATTTCAACAGGGGTTTCCAACCACCCAGCTGAGTGCCTAATCGGTAAAAAGTTGTTAGAGTAGAAATAATTTTATATTAGACATATAATTTTAATTTTTTGTTTCGTGTCCTTCAGCTAACTGCACAACAACCTGTTTCAATGGAGGAACCTGCTTCTATCTAGGAAAATGCATTTGTCCTTCAGGATTCGAGGGAGACCATTGTGAAATCAGTGAGTCTCCGCTATACATTGTTTCACTTAAACTGAGGTTATTCTGGTTACAGTAGGGAGAAGATCAAGTGACACATTTCTGTGCTGACTGACAGCTGGGATTCTCAAACAGCAGGCTGGGACCCTCTGGGTGTGAGCCAGGCCAGTGTTTGTGATCTTCACCACTGATGCGTATCAATTCATTGTTTGATCATCTTACTGTCTGGTTTTTTAAACAAATCCATGGGTTTAGTAGCAACCCTCACTGCATGAGCACTCAGTCAACACCATATGCATGTGCCACGTCTGCAGTAACTTACACTACTGCATGTGAGATTAAAACAGCCTTTTAGATTCTAAAAGTAGAGTGCAGAGCTTGAAATATTAATTGGTACTAGGGGAAAGGGGCAAAGAACTGTAACCATTGAGCTTCAGCTGAAAGTATTAAGTTACATTGACATGGCAGCTTGAAAACTTCTGGTCACAAACATCAATAGACTTGCTGTTTTCAGATGTTTAGCATCAAAGACACTCAAGGTATTTCAGTCTGTAATCAATCTAACTGTTCTGCATAAAGGTGCAGGTAGAGAGCAGCTAACCTGGGACAAAACTGGGAGGCCAACTGCCAAACATTAGCTCAGCCCACAAGAAGAGTTTTCTCACAGGTCTTTTAATTAGATTAATTTAATAGCCTCACAGGCTGGGGTAGAGGGACAGTGTTTTGGTTTTGAAAATATACACACAGCCTATATTTCTTGCATTGTATACCTCTATATCAGCGTTCAGTCCTGAATGTTTCTTGCCTTACACAGGTAATCTCAGTGACGTCATTGGAATTATGCACATTAGTTAGACAAACAGAGTTTGGCCTTATATTTGTAAGATAATTTTTGAATGGACAGACAAGGAAATTAATGTATCTCCCACAGACATGAAACAGTTCATCATCCTGCAAATATTTCAGCAACAGAAGATGGTAATAAGTCAATTATTATGCAAAGAAAAAAGAATCCGAATGTGTTAAGTCTTAAATTTGGCACAATATTCATATGTAGATAGGCAGGGGTAATTAATCTGCAAAACATTCTTCTATCTTTATATGTTGTACAGATTGTTTTCTAGCAGCTTTTTATAATTAAATATCAAAGTCAGTGGGAAGCATCAAGGTTTTATTATTGTTAAGCATATGAACAAGTGTTCTTTCAACACAGTTATGGTATTAGTGTCTTTTCTCTCATTCTAATTCTTTGAGCCAAATCAAAGCTGTGTAAGCAAATATAACTCCATTGATTTCCACTGCATTTGCATCTACTTAAATCAAGTCTGACTGTGACATCTTAGTACTTGCTCATTTCTTTCCTCCTTTAAGAAAAGATTGACATTGATGGAACTTATCACATGAATATGATCAGAGTTTGACCCAAAATGCAAGGAGTTTGTACTTTTTGTCAGTGGTTGATGTATTTTTTAATCATATACTGAGCTATATTGTAGAACGTGTAAATAAGGCTATTCCATTTAAACCAACATTAACATGGGTATAAGACCTTAAACTCCTTTGTATTTTGAAACCTCTTGCTTGTAGGCTGAACACATGAGATTTGGTTATCTGCCATTGCTGTGGCAACTTCTTAAAAAGATATCTTTCTAAAAGTATAGTATTCAGTTATATAGCAATGCGAACAGCCAAATCTTGATGCACTTCAAACACGAATCACAAGTAGAACATTCCTCCATCTTAATTCCTGTTTTGTTTTAAAAGTGCATCTTGCTTACTCCTCTAAGATTATGACAAAACTAGCAGTTCTCTTAATTGCTTTCTGGTGGGCTTTCACTAGTGCATCCAGATCACTGATAATACTAGCATTGTTACACCAGCCTCTGGCACTTTGGACCATAGTGTCATTTAACCTTACCTAGGACTGATGTAGGTGACACGGACCCTACTCATGTTGATACTTAGGTACACATGCAGGTTACTCACAGGAGTGGTTCTGTTGACTTAGAAGGAAATTCAGGTGGTAAATCAATTCCTATGTAAAGAATGAAGGTTCAAAACATGCATGGGTGTCTGATATAATAGGCGGGGGAAGGCACAGCCTTCCCAAACTGCCAGCCTGGCCCCACTCTGCCGCCAAAATGCCTCCTGTGCACTGGGGAGACTGGGGCCATGTGTGCTACCTGCCTTCCCCATGCTCCAGGGCTGGGGAGACTGGGGTACATGTGCGTGTTCACCCTCCCTCCTCTCCTCCCATCCCCATGGGGGGTGGGCGGAAGAGAGGCAGCTTGGCTCCCATGGGGGGTGAACCCTCCGAGGAAGGAGCAGGGCTTACCTCCCACTGCCCTATTTTCACCAGCTGCCCATGAAAATGTGTTAAGAAATAACTTGAAAATTGATTGACTTCAGTAAGAGCAAGTAGAGTTATGCACATGCCTAGGTCTTTCTGGGATCATGGCCATGGTTGTTGAAATGCTGGTGGCAGCTGCCAGCCTGGCCACAGTGAACAACAGTGGGAGACTACAAAAATGCTAGACAAGGCTTATAACATCAGAAGAGAAACAAATCTCTTTCCATTTCCTTAGATCCAGAGCCAGCTACATTCAGTCCTGGAGGTTTCAGAATAAACAGGGGAAGAAAACCTTTGCTTTAGGCAGAAAGCCATCTTCAGAGAATTGCAGAGAGACCTTCCCCCCACCAAATCTTTATATTGTTTGAACATTTTGAGAGAGCCTTTAACAGTGAGCTCCCTCTCTAAAACTCCTGGGAAATGTACTAACCTTAATTCACAATATTAACAAGTATTCTCCAAGTCCTCCGGGTTTCTTCTTGCTGTGGTTATACATTGCCTCTAATTACTGCTTCAGTTTGAGACTGGCATATAGTATTTTTCTTTATTCCTTCTCTTCCTTGCACCAGCTGAGCTGTTCCTTTTTCTATTGTCCAATCTTAGTTTCACTAACAAATATTCACTAATAAACATGTGCATAGCATTTAGCTTTTGTTCTATTCTAGGAAGATACGTTAGCCCCCAATTAATCTGCAGCTATGTCTACACTGCAAAAAAATGGTGTGTTCTTAAATTGGCTTATCTAACCCACGTTTGCCAGCTAAAGTTAAAATAGCAATGAAGACATGGCAACTCAGTTTTTAACTTGGCTCAGCAGCACAAGTGCAAGCTAGGCTACTCAAGTAGCTAACACAAGTTAAAAGCTAGGGTGGCCTGTCTTTATGGCTATTTTAATTCAAGTTTCAGGCTGTCTGCAGAAGTCAGGTAGATGTTACTGCATTGATTATATTCAGGTCACGTTTTCAAGCTTTTTTCCACAACCGTGAAAACCAGAAACAGGTTTTTAAATGATAACTTAGTTTCCAAAGCAGTAAATTGCAGCATGGAATGGAGCCTACAGCAAATTCTACAAAGTGAACAGACCACACTGGGCTCTGATTGCAAATTGACAAGCTCAGGTAGCCTGTTTATTACTTAATTACATTTATTCAAGTCTTGAGCTCCCCAGTTTCTTCTGTTTGTACCAGGTAGCCAGCTACCTGGACCCTGTGCTCATATGACTTGCAGTTAACGGCACAATGACACAGTGACAATGTGCAGCAGTTGGCCTAGGAGGGTACAGAGAAGTAGGCAGGACTCGTAGAAGGCACACTGAATGCCCTCTTCCAAATCCCAGTGCTAGAAGTGCAGGCAAAGTCTGTGTGAACACACAGAGACTGTGCCCAGTTCTAGCCTAATTTTCAAGCTGTCTAAGCGTGCATATAAAACTTGGAAATATAAACTTTCTCTGCCTATAAGAGAATGCACCCCTATGATATTTACTGCTTACCCATAAGACTCTTTAACAATGTAATCCAGAGAGTGTTTCAAACACAAAACAGTTATCTTCCTCCCACTCCCTATAATTATTTTTGTAGAAGTGGAGCACTAAGGCTTTTGTTTTCATGTTTTCTATTTCTAGGCAAATGCCAACAGCCCTGTAGAAATGGAGGTAAATGTACTGGTAAAAATAAATGCAAGTGCTCCAAAGGTTACCAGGGAGATCTTTGTTCAAAGCGTAAGTAGTAACTCCATTCAATCAATCCTTGTTATAAGATCATTGTGATGGCAATACAGTATCTTGTTGCTTGACACCGGCACTAAGTGTGTGTTGCCAGAGAAGCAGGCTAATTTATTTTGTGGACATGCTTCATTTATTAAAGTATGTTTAATTAAAGAAGGGGGTTGTTTGAAACAAAGAAACTTGAAAAAAACAACAATTACCAAACCTTTTAATAGCATGAGTTTCTTTAAAGCAGTAACATGTAAGTACACTAAGCAAGTATTTCTGGATAGTAATATTTCAATATCTTTGTATTTCAGAATAGCCCTGGAAATCTACCTTTTCATGTAAATAGCATGGACCTGATTTTCCTTTCATATACTGATTTCATTGACTTCAGTAGAATTACTCCTGATTTGTACCAGTACAAGGGAGTTAAATAAAGTCTGATTTCAGTAGCAGGGCAAGTTAATGTCAGAATTCTGCACACAGTCAGTTGAAAATTATAGATTTACTGCTAGTGCCTGGCCTGTGCCAAAACTAACATTCTAAAGAATAGCAGGGAAAGCAACTATGTCACTTTATCTATTTATCTGAGTGAAATGTCAAGAAGTTGAATTCTGTTCTCACTTAATTACAGCTGTATGTGAACCTGGTTGTGGATCATATGGAACTTGTGTGGAACCTAACAAATGTCAGTGCAAAGAAGGCTGGCATGGAAGACATTGCAACAAAAGTAAGTAAGAACAGATCTTTGAGAATCCATACAGTAGCTTTTACAGATCATCTTCCATCTGTAAATGGCTGGCTCAAAACTACTATATAATCACTAGAAACAAAACCCGCCCCTTATATAATGAGCCTTTTTTTTTTTTTTAATTTAGGCATACCAATAATTATCCCAAACATTTGCAACACATACTTTTTGTTGGACTGTATGTTAATTACAAAAAAAAAAAGGAATAAAACAATCAATGCAACTTTAAGGTGATTAACCTCACTTTTATGCCCCACTGACGTCAGTGAAAATCATGGAAAGTATGCCCTATTGCTATGGCCACAATATAGTGGCTACTGCTTCAGAAATTATTGGACACCATGGTCCTATTGTATCTGCTGCACATATACTATACTCTTTAACAACATAATTCCCATTGAATTCAGTGTTGCTTTTGACGTGGCTTTTAGAACATTGGATAGACGTTTCTATAAATAAAAAGGGTAGTAGAGGTTGAACCTCTCTAGTCCAGCATCCTCAGGACCTGACTGGTGCCAAACCAGAGATTTGCAGGACTACCAGAGGTCAATATTGTCTAACAGCATTCCCAACACTTCCACTGCTTATTGGGCTCATAGAAGACATTTAGGGGTAAATTACAGCTAAATAACAGCACAGAACATTGAGAGCCAGGACTGGTGGCTGTAAATAAACTTTATGGGACGGTGGGAAACTTGGCAACATCCATAGTAAGTAGACATTGGGCTAACTAAAATGTTGCTGGAACAGAGTATGCTGGACTAGAGAACCTGTACATAGGATTTTAGAGCTTATTGAATATTTCAGAAAAATACAATTTTTGCAAAATCTTCCCTCAAATTTTTAACCACGTTAAAGCAAGTTAAAATTTAGGAGTGTATGTATGTGAATTGACCTTTTTTAAAACCAGATTTAAATGTTCCAAAATGTATTGATTTCAATGTTACGTTTATTGAAATGATAATTTGAATAATCTGCTTACTGATCCATTTGACACCTAATGGTGTCAAATAGTATAGGAAACTGATAACTTCAGTGTAGTTAAACCAGGGATGTGGAGATCCTTAAGATCTCCATATTTAATATACATTCTATTTCCAATAACAAGAAGCTATAAAATGACTTGAACTAGCAAATTAGATCCAGGTGACAAATATTAATTCAGCCTTACTGAAAAATATAAATACAACAAATCAAAGTATTGAAAGCTTTTTGATATAACCTAGTTAATATGAAAAGTAGCAGTGGAAAAAATAGCATATTAGTTACCAGTATAAACTGCTCCAGTTTATTATATAGCAAAAAAGAAAATTCAGAGCAATATATTTTAAATGCTACATGCTTAATAAATCCATGAAACATGAACCTGCATGATAGTATATAAACTGAACTAAGATCATTTTAAATCATGTTAATGGCTTTGGTCTATTGGATATAGAAAGGTGAGCATGTTCACATTTATCAGAGAACAAATATGGATGTTTTTTATAAAGCAAACACATACTCTCTGACAGGAATGGGTTATGATTTAAAATTAAGGTTTTGGGACTCAGTTGAGAAGAGACTGGATTGTATATGTCTTTGCCTAACTGCCATTCAGTGATGAAAGAACAAATCCTTTAAGATAGGCAGCAGATACAGAAAAGCTAAAAATCAAGTATCTGGTAATCAATATAAATTTTAATGCCATCTTTTTGTGACATCTGTAAAGTTAAGCAAGCAGCTAGAAAATAATATTGTTTCATTGTGAGTACATGTACATTTTACTGTCCCCAGAGAAGCACAAAATATGTAGCATGTATGCAACGGTACAAGGATTCTGTATTTGCATGTTAGTATCTGCTCCAAGGGCTTTGAAGCCCTTATTAATAAATATCCTAGTCTAAAGATTGGCTATAGTCCTATACAGTAACACTCCATTGGTCCGGCATCCAATGCTCCGGCACTCCTGATGATCCGGCACCATTGGGAACCCGGAACTGCTCCGAGCAGCTGGACAATTGGAGCTGCTCTGCACCCAGCTTCCCTGATTCAGCCGCTGCTGAAACTGACGAGCAGCTGAATCGGGGAACCTGGTGGCAGAGCAGCTGGGGGGGTGCCCGGGTGTTTCCCGCGCGCCCGC